GAAGGACATCTGTGATGAATTAAAGCCTTGGAGGCTGCTGACCATCTGTGGGAACCAAGGTTTTCCGAGATTCCCACACAGATACGAATGAAAGACTAAATTCGTCGGGGAATTCGGGTTCTCCAAAAGCTAGCGTATCGAATTTAATGTATCCGTTGAAATATTCGCGACACATCAGTGGGAAAGCAAAAGTAAAAACACTTGGCTGCCTTGTGCATCATCTGCTAACAAGAAGGGAACAGCAGAAAGTATTTGATGACAAATTATATACAGTCAAACCTATTTCACTGTAACTTCAAGGGACCAGTAGAATATTTGAGTTAGGGAAACAAGCATTTTTGTTTGGGGGAAAGAAAGAAAAATTGTAATTGGGGATATTTTAGGCCTTGAATTGCTTCTTAGATGAATTTACAGAATGTTGAAGTTGGAGGCAAGGATTCATTTGTGCAATTATAGCCTTTCAATTCCTTTCAAAACACATTGTTACATTTTTTACATTTCTTTTTCCAGTGTTAATAAAATAGTAGCCAAAAGGCCTCTGAATTTTTTTTTTAGGTTTGTGGAGGAAAGAATTTAATTTAGACAAGATTTTAATGAATGCAGAGAAGGACTTGAAACAAATTAGAGAGAGAATTCATCTTAGGTATGTTAAAGGTAACAAAATGCAATTGCAATGAAAAAAGTGGCAGCGTACATAGAGCTGAGATGGAAGATAAATATTATAATTTTATTCCTTATATAGAATGAAAAGTGGCTATAAAAATTAATGCAAATGCCTCAGATACCCTAGATGAAAATTTGATTGATTTACTTTTCAATACAGTTGGATCTCAACAACAAAAACCTCACAAAGTTACAAAAACCTATGTATATCTGCACATTTATCACCTTGACTGAATTTTCTTGTGGAAAAATCATGATAAACCTTTATAAGTGGAAGAATGGAAGAAATTGGTGTTGGATCAATCAAAGTTAGGAATAAATTCGACTCTACATGAACAAAAGAATCAACTTCTTCAAACTTTGGGAGTAATCACAAATGCACAAGATTCAATTGAATAAAGTAACTAACAACTTTTTCAGACCTTCTTCCTGTACAATATGGCCTTCAACAGTCTTTTCACACAACAAATTCAAGGAAGTGAAATTTTCCAATTTGTTTGGTCTTCTGAAAAATATTTAATAGAATCTTGATTAAACAAGCTGTACTCACAATTGCTCAACAGCATTGATTCCTCAAAGCCCGCACATTTCCCCATTTTTAACAGGTATTTTTTCTTGCTCCACCCTGTATTTCGGAATTTACATGTCTCAAATGCAAAAAATAAATAAATGGCAAGCTCTGAGAATAATCCATCCAATGGATCGAACGTATTCAGATATCAGCCAAAAAAAAAGAGGGATTTCAGCTCAGAATTTCTAAAGATTAATTTTTTTTCAGCTATACCACGCTGGTCACCCATCTTCTTTCGAGTGCATCTTTTTCATTTATTTTTTTGTAAAGCGTTGATGCCTCTGAGAGACGATTGATGGCATTTCCGAGACTCGCGGGGTTCGTTGCTGGTTGGAGAGGATAAAATCCCTGCTTTTTGGCAGAGGTACCTGATGGACCAGATGTGGTCATTAGGGCGCATCCCATCCTTGCCAAAAGGCTCAAGCCCATATTTTTCTCTTTTTTTACAAAATGACCGTTGGGGGGGGGGGGGATGCGATGATGAAAAAGAATTCCTTGCAACTGCTACGTGTAACATCACGTTCTTTTGTTGGGCATCAGAGTCTTCAGACTGATATCTCCAGGAAGAAAGTATTTCATGTCAACATTCTTCGTTGTACAAGTATAAGGGTCATCATTTCCGAAAGAGACGGTCGCGGTTTTTCTTCATTGGCCAATTTTTTGAACATCAAGATGAAGCTTTTTTTTTTTGTGGCCACGTTTTCGCTATGGATGTGATTTTTAAGAGGAAAAAATAAGCAGAGAAATTCATAAATAAAATGTGAGTGCTGTGCTTCCTTTTTCATTGGCCTCGAGAATAGCGTAACCATTGCTGATTTATAGTCAATGACTAAACTGATCAATTGACTAAAATGATCAATTGACTAAAATGATCAACTGACTAAAATGATCAATTGACTAAAATTATCAATTGCTAGGCATCCTTCGGTTTTAATAAAATGTGTCCATTTTGGAAACTCGATTTCTTTCCCTTTATTCCTTGTACTGCAAAATAATTTCAAGACTGGAATTTTTCAATTTTTCTGTATTATTATTTTTTGCCTGAAAAAATGCTGTACTTAGAACAATGCTCCCAAACCTGTGGTCCGCAGAAGTTTTTTGCCAGTTCATGGGAAATTTTCTTCTGCATAATAAATTTATCAAAAGTAGCAATGAAGTATTTTCTCTTTTCCTGAAATTTTGGGAAGACAAAATGGCAGTTGAAATTATGTGATGAATAAAGTACTGTAGAAGTTGGCATTTCTCCTAATATTGCTTCAAGCAAATTTTCACCTGCTGAAATAAATTCTTTGAATTTTTCAGTCTGAGACACATTTATTCAAGACCACATTCCTAAATTCTTGAAGACATTCCACTATAGCTGCTTCATTGGTTCTTGACTTACTTCTTGCAAAAAAATCCAGAAACTTCATAAAACTTACCATGAAGTCTTTCAAACCAAACTATTTTTAGTCTGCAAACATTTTGTGAAACTTTGCTGGTCCGGAGGATATTTTTTGGAGTCCGCAAATCATTTTATAAAAATGTTCCCGGGTTGCATATTTAATGAATAATTGTTCCACGTTTGATTGAAATTTGAAGCATAAATACTTCGGAGTTCTCGTGGAATGAGTTCCTAATTCACCTAATGCAATGAAAATGTCAATTGTTTGACATCCTCTTGAGAATTCTACGGCTCTGTGATGCTTGATGAGACAGTCGAAAGGCGTCAACAACTTCAAACGCATTTTGCACATTCTCTTCGCTAATTTCTCTCAATTCACTGCACGGTTGAGCAATCAACATTCGGTGATTTATTTTAATGGTGAACAAATCCGTCCTTTTGAACACTAATTATAGGTGTTTTTCATCTGAACATCATTGAATCAAGAATTAATACCTCGTTATAATGTGAAAAACTTTTCGGCAATTGTGCTGTTGATTCATCGCGTGAAAGATGTCTCCGTATTTTTTTTCTTCCCCCGCATTGAAAAGAAGGGGAAAAAGAGGTGGAAACCTCGTACCAGAGAGTTGGTTCAATATTTGTCTTGTTTCCTCCAGAATTTTCCATGGAACCGTAACGAGAAGTACAGTGATTATTCGCGAGCCAATATGTGCAAATATTTACTCGCGTGGCTGAGATTCCGCCAGCAGCACTCTCGCCAACCCGAGGACCTCCATTGAGGCGGAAACCCGTGGAAAGAACTTTTTTTTACTTTTTTTTCCTCGCCGCCCAAAGGCAGGAAAAAAACAATGTGGCGCCTCAAGCTATTCCGCCGACGCTATTTTCGTCAGCTACTCATTTACATCATCATCGTCTCCTGCTTCCTCGCATTCCTATTCAGGTATTTTCCGAATATTTTGTTTTCAAAAATATTTGGCTGACAGAGGTCATTTTGACAGAACGTGGCATGTGATCATCATGAATATGCAATTTTTCGTTGTTGGAGTAAATATCGTCTGGATTTATTTCTCAATTAATTGTTTTTTTTTTAATTGCAGCGGTACCTTTTTGGGCATCAGGTTTCCTTTTTGGGTTATTTTTGTGATATTTTATTAGATTAATTTATACAGGCTTATTATCACAAATTTAAAATCGTGCGTAAAATGAGATTTTTCTCAAATATGTTGACCTAATTATACAGCGGTGAACAATAAAATAAAAAGGTGATTAGTTGAAGTCGAAGCATTTTTTTAAATATGTAGTGCATTTCCCCCATGCCATCGACATTTAACGATTCTTTGCCCTGGGAAAATCTATGCCAGAAGAAAAATGTAATTCTCACTCGTCCCCGAACTCCGTTGTTTTTAGCGATGGTGTAGATGTCGCATGAACTTTTCCAAAATCGTGTAATGTCAATTTGAAGTATGTTTTTTGGCAGTTTCCACTGTTCAATTTCTGATTTCGACCAGTTAGGTTAGCTCAGTTTTGGTTGCGTTATTTTCATGTTACATTAAGCAGATTCAGGGTATTACAAAATTTGCACTGAATAAAATACATACTGATGAAAATACAGTTGATTGTCTGTGAGTTGAGCTTCAAAGAAACTCCAATTTTTTTAGCTGGAGAGTTTCGGGTTGGGGAATACGGCCTTATTTTAGCATCAGGTTGATCATAAGTTAATCTGTTTGAATAATTTTTTATGCAATTCATGAACAAGTATATGAAGCATCTGAAAATTCCTTCTTTAGATTGAATTAAAATGAAAAATTTCCATTTTAAACGTAATTCTCTGGATCAGGTCTAAAATGCGGTCTATATAAAATTCGTTTAAGGGAGATTAGAGCCCTAAACTGTCGAGTTAAGTTGGTCTGTACTCTGACTGAGGGGAATCATTCACAGGAAATTTGAGCCAGTGACCTCAGATTTTTGACTCGAGATGCTCGATAAAATCTGAAAGCATGTTCATCAGTATTTATTTCTTTTTAGCAATTCGACGTCACTGTATCAAGAACCGGAGATCCCGAAATCAGCGCCGGCGAGACGAGAGCCAGCGTCCGCGGATTACGTAGCCCCAGTGGTGCCATCTACCTCAACTGAGCCGAATTTGGGCAAACAGCGACATCTATCTCCTGTGGGCCAGTTACCCTGGTTTTTCCAGAACGGGACCTATTGTCCACAGCCCACACGTGGCCGGAAAAGCCCGATTTGGCCTGATGAAAGCTCTGAGGATAGGATTGTGGAGCAACTTATGTACAGGTTAATCAGCATTTCTTACAAGTTTTTTCGCTGCAGTTCAAAAAAACAAACCAGATTTACTTTCATTATTCTCCTCGGGAAACAATAAAATATGAAGCAAACCTTGATTCTCGTCATCCCTTATTCTTGGAATGTTTTTTTTCTCTGCGTCAACTGATAGTCTTCCGATTATTCTTCTGGCAAAAGTGAAAAATGAAGAAAAATAGAATAATAGCCAAAAATCCTAGCTTTAAAATTGTCCTGCTCCTGTTCCGGCTTGGTATAAATATTTTCAATTTTACAAATTTGCTGTTAAAGAGAAAATATATGGATACGTTTCATCGATTGGTACTTTTCGTGATGAATAACATTTTTCGGATTTTAATCTAAAATCACTTGAACGACAGAAATGGACGAATTCTGTGTGAAATCGCTCTTTTGTATCAATAATGAATCATTATCCAAGCAACACAAGTTTCATACAATAATCGCCGTATTCTAACCTTCAAGCATCACATTTGGCTCTAATTTCAATTTTAGAGGGCGTATTTCCTGGCGCCATCTACAACGAAATGAAAAATTATTTTATGTTGCTGGTACGGCGTCAGAGTGGTTCGATTTTATTCCCGTAGATGTCGCGCGTGCATGAATCTCACTGATGGGTGGTTCTCCAGAGAAAATCGAGCGCCGAAAAATTATTTATTCAACTCGATGAATAATTTATGGCTAGAGTATCTTCGTTTTTCCCTGTCCAAGCATCGTTCTTCCGATTTCAATGGATAATCTTACCTCAGCATTATTCAGAAATCGAAGGGGTTACACAAAAGTTTCTCAAACATAAATTCAAACTGCAGGTGATTGAGCTGTGAAGTAGTTATTGTTCAGAAAAAGCAATCTTTGGCACCAGAAAAAATATAACATCCTTCCAGATTTTTGTTTTTGTTTTTGCAAAATTCATTTTGGCAGATTTCTGCTCTTTGCTCAGCAAACAATGAGGAGCCCATCCCGCAAATTTTTTGGTGTACCCTAGCTTTCCTTTTGTAATTCATGAAATTGTCCTTGCATCAATTCCAAGGTTTGCCTCCAGCAGGTCTTCAATTGTACTTCGCCATTTTTTCCATTGAAACCCGAATTTCATAGTTAATCAATGGCGGCTACCCTTTTGGATTACTGTTATACCACCTAGATTTTGAGAATTTTGAATGTATTAAAGCTGGTGCACACAAAATAAAATAAAGAATCTGCGAGATGGGTGCCTCATATTTTGGGTGGAGAGCAGAAAGTAGCCCTCAGTCTGACTTTTGCAACAAATAAAATCTGGAAAATGTGTCAAACAGGGCTGAATTTTTCCTTCTTCCGCAAAAAAAAATTATTCTATCTGAACGTCAACTCTGTGAACAAGGATCACCAAATAATAAAAATAAAAATGCAGACAATCAGCCTTCAATGCCAAGAACATATATTCAAGGGGTTTCCTTGAATATATATGTGTTCCTATAGTTTTTCAATAATTTATTTTATGATCCAGTTGAATGCAAAGAATACAAATACAATGCACAAGATGGATTTGAATAATAGCACAGGAGTAACAGATTTGTGCACGCAAAACACTAGGAATAAAAGGATAATTGTTGAGAGTTTAGGACAGACAACTGAGATGCTTAAATTTGAATTATTTGTAGTTTTGATTGCGGAGGAAACCTTGATTGGTTTCCTCTCTAGTTTTCACCTCAACAAACTCACTTTAAAGCTCGATCAATTGCCAGTTTCAGTTTTCATTCCGAGAACTTTTGCGAAACCCCTCGTATGGAGTCTCAGCACCGCCGGGGCCTGCACTCTCTTATCCATTAAACCCATCCATCCATCCATTTATTTTGCTTTTGTTTTTTTTTGTTTTTTTTCTTGCACAGGCCTGCAATAGAACACGGTGTTGCCAGTGGACCAGAACGCACCAGCATCATACTGGCCCAAGAAGAGAATTCAGTGCTGGTGGAAGAAAGAAGCAAACACGAGCACCAGAAGAGCAAAAGAACCGGAGACAAACTGGTGCTGTTGTACAACCAGCACGGCTGGCCCGGGGTCAAGCTCGGCTCCGGCATGTTCGACAAGTGTCCCGTGAGGTCCTGCAGTGTTACCAAGTCCAAACACGACATGAGGATTGCGGATGCCGTTTTGTTCAAGGACTTTGTGCCAGCAGTCGCCAAACCGCATCCGGACCAGATTTGGGTAAACTTATGCAGAAGTTTTTTTTTTCCTCTTCAAATTCACTGCAGAGAGATGCCTACTGTGAACCCTTGTGAATATGAGCATAGAGAAAATAATGTTCATCAGTTTAATTCACTTTTGGACAGCCTGTATGTGGTCTGCAGACCAGCACTGGTATCTGCAGACATTTTTTGCTGGTCTGCCAGCAAACAATGGGAATTTGCTTCAGCAGCATGGCAAATTTATGATGAATAGCAATGAAGTCTGTTTTTTCTGAATTTTTGGGGAGACAATGGCAGTTTAAATTATCTGATGAAAATTGAACATTGGCTTTTCTCCATATAGGACTTCAGACAACGTTTCATCTGCTGAAATGAATTATTTTAATTTTTCATTCTGAGAAACCTTCCCTCAAGAGTCAAGACCAACCTCCTAATTTTTTGATGACAAATCACTAGAGCTGTTTCATTGGTTCTTAACTTGAATGAATGAATGAATGAACAGAAAACTTTATTTGCTGCTTTTCAGCGTTTGCAAGGAATAACCAGAACTCCCGCATCCAAACCCCCTCCCCACCCAACCCAACTCCCCCAAATACATTCAATCATTTCAAAGCATGAAACAAAGCACAAACGAATGACAAAAATGAAAGAGAACACAACTTGATTTTTGCAAAAAACAAACACTTTTTAAATATCTGCCATAATGACTTTGAAACGTACCTTTTTGAGTCTGGAAATATTTTATGAAAACCCTTGCTGGTCTACATAACTTTTTTTTTTTAATTTACTGGTCCATAAAAATTTCTATGAAAATTTGCTGGTCTGCTGGCCAAAAAGGTTAGGTAATGCTGTTCTAAAATGTACATACACTTTCATAACAGCAAAACATCTTTTGAAATTAAATTGATGGAGGTTTGGCCCAAAATCTCAGTCATTCATTTTGTTTCTTTGTTCTTTATTTTTTGCTTCAAGGTTGATCTTTTTACCTATTTTTCTGAATTACAGTTAGATAATTGTAACCTGTTTCTTTGATTTGTCTATTTTCCTCATCTATAGGCCCTAGTTCAATCTCTTGGCCTGCTGCAGACAGACCTAATTTCATAAAATGTTTTGCAAACTGGCAAATCTGCAAAAAAGTGCTGTAAACTGGCAAAGTTTTGCTAAATTTTTGCAGACTCAAAGAAGTTTTGTTTGGAAGACTTCACGGCAGGTATTTAAAAAGTTTCTGCTTTGCTGCAAAAATTAAGTTCAAACAAAAATAATGAAGCAGCAGGAGTGGATGTCTTCAAACAAATGAGGAAGGACGGCATGAAGAAAGGCTTCTCAGAATTTAAAAAAAATCACTATACTTTATTTCAGTAGGTGAAAATTTGTCTGAAGCTTCATCAGGAAGAAAAGCTGACTTATATCTTTCATCAGATAATTTCAACGGCCATTGTCTTTCCAAAATGTCTGATGAAGATAACAAACTTCATATTCATTTCTAGTAAATATACTGCACCAGTATGAAGAAATAAATATGAAGAAATTTTAATACATGTACTGGCCAGCAAAAAACTTATGAAGATCAGCACCGGTCTCCAGACCCCGGATTTGCGGAAACCTGCGCTAGTTCGAATTTGTGGGACTGGGTGGCATTTCAGTGAAACAATTCAATTGATATTGAAACAATCATAAGGATCATCAGTATCGCTTTCTTTATTTATTTATTTTGTAATTTTGTAGATCCTGTACTTGTTGGAAAGCCCGATGCACACGCAGGGATTCCTCAACGTCCACTCCATCAACTGGACAGCGACTTACAGACGGGACTCGGACATAGTCACGCCGTATGCCAAGTGGGTGTACTACGACCCAGAGGTGACATCTTTACCAGTATCCAGGAACCACGCAGCCAACAAGACCAAGCTCGTCGCCTGGTTCGTGTCCAACTGCCACGCCCGCAATAACAGGTTGCAGTTTGTGCGGGAATTGGCAAAGCACGTCGGGGTGGACATTTACGGGGCTTGTGGCAATTACAAGTGTCCCAGGAACAACGCGAAAATGTGCTTCGACTTGTTGAACGCCCGCTACAAGTTTTACTTGGCATTCGAAAACAGCAACTGCGTGGATTACATCACCGAAAAGTTTTTCGTCAACGGTCTCACGTGAGGATTTTTTTTTCTTTTTTTTGCATGAATGATTCCATTTTAGAGCGAAATTTCCAGTTCCGAGAATTAAATTTTTTTTCTTGGCAGAACGAAACCATGTGCAGCAAAGAATGTTGAGAATAACTCCGTCTCGAGTGGATTTCTAGAAGTTGAAGTTACACTCTGACTCTGCAATAAAATATACGATCGCATTTCTTAAAAAAAGCATCGTTAATTGTTTTCTGAATGAGTGAAACTCTGATTTGAAAACGAATCTAGATTTTTTCAATTGGAAAAATGTTTTGGATTTCTCAAGTCAGCAAAAAGGTTTATCCGAGGGGCTTCTGCACACAAAATTCCAATTAATTCTCGTGATTTGATGAAAGTATTCCATTTGTTATTGCAATATTTCTGTCAAATATATCCTAGAAAAATCTGACCGCATTTAGATAGACACGATTAGAACAATGATAGCCCAGCCCTTTGGATAATTCTTTGCTTTTTAATTCAGGCGAAAATTAATTTAATTGCTTCATCAATTTGGATCATGGCTGGGAATCTCGGCTGTGAAATTAAAAATTGCGCACTTCCAATTGTTTAAAAAGATGATTTGCTTGCTTCGCTCTACTCGTAAAAGCAATAAATTTTGAGTAAATTTGAATAACTGAGAATTAAGTCTCACACAAAAAATGATTCCTGGAGAGGGATAATCGCCCTCCTGAATCAGTTTTTGAAGGTAACATTCAAAAGATGTTTTGAATATACTTTTGAATGCGTCAAATCTATATTAATTGTTCATTAGTGACACATTTTCCTTTAAATTTAAGCTGAATACATATTTCAAACAATATGTTACCCACATTTTCAACGCTAATGGTAGCACAAAAAAATGTCATTAATCATGAGACGGATTCCCTCAATAATTTCCAAGGTATAAGATTTAAAATTTTTGTTTTCATTGTAATTTTTTGTGAAAGATTTTCAAAACTGTTCCCATATTTTCAGGAACGATGTCGTGCCAATTGTGATGGGTGCAAGACCCCAAGATTATGCCAGAGCTGCACCCAAGAAATCTTACATTCATGTGGATGATTTTGCTTCTCCGCAGGTAAGTGTTTCAAAAATAAAAGAATGAATGAATCATGGCATTCTTAATACAGGTATTAGAAAAAAACATATTTTTACACTCTCATTCCACATTATTATTCACACGGATTTTCTTTTTAAAATAGCAGGAATATTTTGCGCTGAAACATTTTCCGGAAATTATTGCTGTGATTCCCTACTCTTCTAGAGAATGAAGTTTATTCTATCAAACTTTTTCGAATTTTAAGAGTAGGTCTATCTACTGCTCAAAACAAAACAAAAATTATCTCTGTTTTTTTTCTTAAAAATGCACGGTACTCTCCCGAAATTACAATTTTATACTCAATTGTTGACGTTGTGAAGAAGAAAAAACTAATACCAAACTGCACTTTTGTTTCATCCTTACGAATATTGTTGATGGAAGGCATCTTATCAAGGTTTGTTGTGGCAGTGTTCCCAAATGTTTTTGAACCCGCAGACTGGAAAATTCCCGGAAATTTGTTCTGTGGACTGGCAAAGTTTCATAAAATTTTGATCATACCCTAAAAAAAAAGTTTTGATTGAAAGACTTTGTGGAAAGTATTTGAAGCGTCTTTATTGTCGAGGATTTATTCCTGACATATATTATGTGCTGCTGGTGTACCCGCAGACTTATTTGAACTTTTATTTTAAACCATAATAAGGACCTAGCAGAGTACCTCAAGTACCTCGACTCCCACGACGCCGCCTACAACGAGTATTTCACCTGGAAGGGCACCGGGGAGTTCATCAACACCTACTTTTTCTGTCGCATGTGCGCCATGCTCCACGACCCCGAGCCGCCATCCAAAGAATACCTCAATCTGAGCAAGTGGTGGCGCCTGGACGCCATGTGCAGACGTGGTTCCTGGAACACGACCCTAGAGCAGAAAACCTCGGAGCAGCACAAAGCCGAACTTGCCAATAAGGAAAAACGGGGAACTGATTCGGACAAGTGGCCGGTATTGCTGTGATTTTGTTCTTATATTGAGTCTTTGTTTTCTTGTTTGTTCTGTTTCTGGCAGAAGGAGAGCTTTCTGCAAACTTCTTTTTTTTCCCGGGATCCCGTCCCACCTTTGCTCCCAACAGCACATTTTTCAGACCTCGTGTGAGCCCCATGGGAATACGCTTTCATTTTTTTTTTTTTGAAATTATTTAAACGTAAATGTAGGAATTTTCATAAATAAACGCATCGTCCATAGGTTTGCTGAAATTAAATTCGATGATGATAAAATTCATCATTTTCTTGATGAAAGATCTCAAGAGATTTTTTCTTCATCCACTGGAGCTTATTGTCTTTTTTTTAGATTCGTCAACTTTTTGGAGGAATTCGAATTGTTCGAAAGAGGAACTCCCTGTTTTCCAAATTAAAACTAGGATGCAATACAGATATTATTAAATTAAAGTTCCGCGTTCAATTTTTAGAATAATTGTGGACCCGACCAGTCATGATTTTTTTTTTGTTTTTAAGACAACTGTAATCCAATATGAAAATATTTGAGGTTCAAATCGAAACCACTGCAATATTCAATGTTTACATCACTTTTTTTCATAGAATTGCATCTCGTTTTTATTTGCGTGCGTTGGATTATTAGGACATTATAAAGAGGCAATTTTTATGCACTACAGAAGACCGCGGAAAAGGCCCCGTTTTTATTAGAAAATTTCATCAGCTTTCATGCCCACGCGTGGGAGGGAATTTCATCAAAGCATATTCGTCAGAAATTCGTTAGCATTTTATTTTTTTAGGTTACTGTGTGCAATCGTCTAATAATTATGGGAGCCGAGGTGGGAAGTGTCAGGAATAAGGTCGTTTCTATTCGTTCTTCGACCCAGGGGAAATTTTCCGAGGACCGCTGATACGAATCTGCTCGTAGAAGACGTTGGCAATCCTTTTCTGATGAATCGATCGCATGAAATAGGTCATCTCGAGATCATAAAATCTGATTGGAGATATCCGAAAAAAAAGCAATAGTGCAGCTCAGAGAGAAAAAAAAGTGCGATATCCTTCTTGACGAAAAAAACCGGGACTGAAATGTTATCATGTGCATGGTTGCCAAAGTCGTTCACGCGAGGGGATTCTTTTCCGGTGGAAAGTCTGGAGGCCCAAAGAATGCGAACTTCCAAAGTGTGTTTTTTTTTTCTTCTGAATTTTTGGATTGTCGGGTCAGGTCTTTTGAGGTCACCACTTGCCGAGGGATTTTCAAATAATAACGGTGATTTGTGTGGCCAGTATAGTTCGCCTCGGTGAAGTGAAGATATTTGTTTCGTCTGGAGCGCGACCTGAACGCTGATTGAAGATGCCAGCCTTTGATTTCTCTTTCTGATTAGGTAGATGTCGCTCCTATGAAAAAGCTCTCGCATGTCTGTTCGGAGGATATCGTCAAAAGATTTTAGGTTTTTATTTTATCGATTCGCCTCTGCTCATTTGTGGCAATTTCTTCGAAAGAGAAAAATGTTGATCGACCTCAAGAGACCCTGAATCCTTGTTGGAACATGTGATATTGTTGTGGTCCGGATTCGCAGTCCAGAATATTAGTCAATTTATTCTCCTGAAGAAGGTCCTTCATTAGAAGGGGTTTTGCAACCCGGAAAATCCTCCGAAATTTTGCTTTTTAAAATTGTATCCATTGATTTGACTGAAGCATGCGCGTTTATCCATCCCCGAGCCTTTCAAAATTGCTGGGAGCTTGTTTGAAAATTCCTGAATTTGATCTCATGTGGGAAAGCTCTCTGATTTAAATTCTTATAGCTAACGATTCGCAGCTAAAATTTCGTCCGACATTTCGGAAATCAAAAGCTTCTCAATAAACATAAGCCACGTGAAAAATTCTGACACAACAAACGAAAAGAGAGACATTTCAGGAATGACAAAATTTTGTGATACACTTCAAAGACTTGCATAACACGAAAAAAAACAGAAAAAAGACGAAAAGAAAAGACATTTTGTGTAGAAGTCTGGAACATTCGTTCGTCGTGTGATGCTGCTTTTCTTGTCGATGATTGATTGCTAGCCACAAAAAAAGCAAGATTGAATGGAGAATAAAAACGCGAAGCAGTCAACTGACTCTGTTTTTCATTCATTCCGATTCGGAACTCAAATTTATTTTCTTTAAAAAAAAAATGTCGAGAGAAAAACTTGGAATCCGTTATTCACTTTGCACACACGAGAAGGTAAAATTCGACGCGGATTCCGAAACATTCGTAACATGGGAATGATAACAATATATATATGCAACAACCATTCTATTAGTCCCTTCGACTTCTCATATATTTTTTTGAGAAAACAATAAACACAAAAGGGGGTATTGAGCAACTTTCACAGAAAAAATCACGACGTGCACTTGTGCGACCTGTCAGTGATATTGTTCAACTTACATGCCATAGCTCCCAAAAGTTTCCGAACAAGCCTTTGTCTGCTTCTTCTTTCTCTTTTTGTTTTTTAAAGAAAACATTCAAGTTATTTCTTCATCACAAGTTGGACCGCTGAGCCAGACACTGACTAGATCGAACGATTCGTCACTAACAAAAATATTATTATCTCAGAGTTTTGAATATAGAACAGACGGAATCTTGAAATTTCTTGTAAGATGAGCTTGGCTTGTGTTTCTCAACTCCATTGCATCAGGGTTTCTCGGGCATCAAAAAATGTAACTTTTAAACTGATTCGTCAAAAGGTGGAAAGACAGTTTCTACAAGAAATATTCCAAGAAATATTTCTAAAATTATTATTTATAAATTGTCCCAGCTATAAAAATGCAAACGGAAATACACTATGTAAATCCAAACCTGATGAGAAGTGGACAAGCAGATCAAAGAAAAATTTAAGATCTTTTCAGAAGGATTTTTCGAAGCACTCCAAAAAATTGCAGCTGTAAAGATTTTAAGCGTCCAATTTTCAACGACTCGTTTTGGCTTACGAAAACTTGGATGCAATTTTTAGCAGAATACGATAAACAAATAATTTTGCGGATATACTTTGAATCACTCGATTAAGGGCTTATCATTCGAAAGAAAATTAACCCCAAATATTCAAAAATGACGATTCCGCACAACGAAGTCTCACATTTCTTACATTGCAAATACCTGGTTTCTTTTTACATTTTCTCAAAGAAGTTTAGCAAAATTTTCGCATGAAAAAATTATTAAATATTTTTGGAGATATATTGAGGACAAAAGCCATAGATGCAGTTTTAGGAAATTCTCGAAAAGAAAGCACAGAATTTTATCGCAAAAACTGAAAGGTAGAAATTTTTAAAGACAATCCACGTTCAACATCAAATATTGAATTGTAGTGGTTCCTCAAAATAATTTCTTGTTGGATGATGATAGCATCATTTGATCGTGAAGATTTGCTATTTTTGCAGACATTGACAACAAAATGATGGAAAATTACGTTTGCATAAAAAAAATATGCTGCTGATTTGCGAGACTTCTAAAAAAAACTCCCTTTCAAATCGGAGAATTTTCTAAAAGTATTCCGTCGCGCTTAAATATTTGCCAAATTTTATAAAGCATCACTAGAAAAGGCTCTTTGAAAATGTAAAAAAAAAACTATATCTATACGGGGGCTAAAGTGGAAACAAAAGTGAGGGTCATGGCTCGGCTCTAAGTAACACATACAACAACAACAAAAATGGTGGAATAACTCGGAATGGTGGTCACACTCTCGAATCCACGCAGAAAAGTATCTCTCTTTTTCTCTCTTTTCAAAGCAAAAAAAAAAATCAGTTATTGTCATAGTAAGCTTGTTGTATGCACATTCCGTTCACCGAACCCATGTTGGCTCGTTTCCTAAGTCCCTCGTTGTTCATCATCATCATCTTCGTAACTTCCTCATTTTTACAATCCTGAAACGATTAAATCCCAGCGTTTCATAAAATATATGCTTCATCACCAAAGTACGAAAAGACGCGTGCTGTTTTTTTTTTTTTTACGAACCGATTTCGCAGACTGGACTTCCTTCTTCTTTCCGTCCTTCCTCTTCACGTAAGTCTTGATGTAAAAATCAGTGAACAAGCCGATGAATAAAATTGCGTGCGTTATGATGGCGTAAACGAAAACTTTCGGGTAGTTGCAATCCACGAAAAGCAGCTGCAGGGCGTGGAGCAACACAAGCAGGAACTGAACCTACATATATTTACACCAGGAAGAGTTATGCAAAAACCCCGGTCTTTGCTTTTTTTTTCAACAAAAAAATAATAATGCGAAAAAAACAACGCCTCACCATTTGAATTGTGGTCAAGTACCGCTTCCACCACAAATACTTTTGGTACTTGGGCCCCAAAGCAGCCAAAGAGTAGTACAAGTACATTACGACATGCACCTGAGTGTTGAGTAACCCGAAAAACGTGCTTTGACCGCCTTAAGCAAGAGAAATAACCGTGTTCATCATTTTTTTTTCTTTACGTAATTAAGGGATTGACACGCTGTTAATTTTTTTACATTCAAGCTTAAGGTACACTTGAACAGTTTTTTCTTGTTTTTAAGATTTATTTTTGGACTGACTGCATTGATGCTCATATTTCGAGGATTAATAAATATTTCATTCCAGCGAATTCTTCCAGTGTGATGATTTTGAAAATGCGGACTATATTGAGTCGATTTAGGTTTTACAATTTTAAATTTCAATATTGAGTCATTTTAGCGCTCAATAAATTTTCTGCAGAAAATTTATGATTGTGAGCGAATATTGAAATTTACAATTTTAAATTATAAATTGAGTCATAAATTTTCTGCAGAAAATTTATGATTTTGAGCGATAAAATGACTCAATATTGAAATTTAAAATTATAAAAAAATATTCTAATTGTAAAATTCTAAAATGACTCAATATTGAAATTTAAAATTGTAAAAAATAAATCGACTCAATATACTAACTTACTTATGTTAACTTACTTATATGTTAACTTACTTTCGTCATGACGAAAGTAAGTTAACATGCGGTATAAGTTCCGAGCATTTCCAATGATTTATTGGCTTTCAAAATTATTCGTGCTAGCAATAAATTCACCATTTACGTAATCAATGATATTGAAAAAGTAATTTTAAACTACCTCATGCAAGAATTGAAGGTTCGAAAATTATCCGAATTTAAAAGAAAAATGCCAGACAAGGCTTATGCTGCTTTCACACTCGATCTTTCAAAATAACATTTCGGTATTTTATTTTCTATGCTTGATCGATGCAACAACAAAAAATTTGCGTGAATTAAATGAGAAAAATGTGTTAACCTCCGCAGAATTTAACTCCAAACCAGATGCTGAAGGGCATCAGTCCGTGATGGACCAAGTGCAGCAAGGACAAGTGCTGAAATTTTTTTCGCATCACGAAAAACAGCTGAAGAAGGGGAGAAAAACATCGCCAAACATTTTTAATTTCATGAATCCAAGTCAAATAAAAAAAATAGCACTTGACAAACCGTGTCGAACCAGTCGATGAATTTCGAGAAGTAGAACCACCAGGCGGCGTTCACCATCTATTCGAGGTAATTTGAAAAAGTAATCATTGATGATGGAAAAAAATTATGCATTGAAATTTTATAAAAAATGAATAAGAATTCCGTTTCTTTTTACTCTCATGGCAGCAGGCCTGTCGCTGTAGTCGACCGGTTGGCAGACGAAGGAATACTCGAAAAACCAGCTGCCAATTCCCTGTTTTACAAAATAAAATTGAAAGCAGACATGGTCAACATTGATCAGAAACGAGCGCAAGGCAGAAAAAGTCCTACGATTTTAAAGAAAATGCAATATTTTAGTACTGTAGAAAGACAGTAAACTAAATTGGAGATATTTTCTCATTAAATTCAGCGGGAGTGCAAAAATTTATCATTTTCACTTCTCGATTGCACTCTTGACAACAGCTTTAACGGGGACTCGAATGCAAAGTACTTTCTTATTTTATTTGTGGCTCAATTCTAATTTTTAAAAATCAATCAACTCGAGACCGTCTCGATGATTGCTCCTGATGTATCCTTATTAATTTTGAAACCCTCCTTATTGCATGCATTAAAATATTGTGCAGTCAGAAGTGTTTTCCAACTATAATGGTACATCGAAAATTCCGAGTACCACTTTCCCAATGCCGAATAATTTATTGTAAACAAGGGAAAATGAGCCGCTGTTCAAATTGCCCTGATTTGCACAAAACGCAAGTGTTGCATGTGAAAATAAACGATACCAATTGTATTTCATATTTGGCACTTGGACATTCAGGAGAATATGTATTTTTTTTAAAACCGTTGCCCCATCTTGAAAAAGGTACGACAGTACTTTTAGAAAAGTTGCAAAAAAGCTCCTTTTTTATTCGATTCGCCAATTCGTACTGGATAGTGATTCGTAAAAGATTATTGACGACCGGAGAAATTGCAAAACATTTTTCGTCGATTACTGATGGTATAATAAGAAAAAGGAACATTTGCGCAATCTTCTTTTTACGCTTGCCATTCGTAATAATTTTGCATTCAAAAGTAGGGTGAAATCATTTTCATCCGTATCTTGGATGAAAGTGATTGGATTTTCTGAAAGACTGAAACGGCTCCGGACAGGGAATCAATTCAAACTTTTTAACAACTGGAAAAATGTCACGTGATTTCTTTCCGTTTTTCGATGATGCAACCAATGAAAATTGTTCGTATAATCATCAACTTTTTACGTTACACTTTCACAGGGAATTATTATCAACTGAAAATTGAGAGATCGTACGATTTTACCAAGGATTGAAAACCGCATTCTCAAAAATATTCGGAACAAGGAAGAGATTCAATTTGTGACAGCTGAGACAAACTAACGTGAAATTTTACAACATTTACCGAGTATGAAATCTCTCATTTTTTTCGAGTTACCGCCTTTAAATCGTTATTAATTTTTCTTTGGAACAATAATTTTAGAAGCAAGTAGACGATGTCATACACAAAAAGAAATCGGCTTTGGAGCAACAGCAGCAGTTTAAAAATAGATAATTTTTATTTCACATTCCAGTTTTACCTTTCTTTTTTTTTTTGGAACAAGATGAAATGGAAGCTATATTCATTTTTTCTATTTATTTCTTTAGAACAACTGAAGAAGCAGACGGGGGATGATGTTAAACAGAACAAGGAACCGTCTTTGGAGCAACAACAGCATTTAGAAGAATATAGAAGAGCTTTAATTGCAGTTGTATCGCTCTTTTTTTTTAGAACAAGATGAATTGGCAGTTTAATTCATTTATCCATTCATTTCTTATTCAAGGATATATAAGATACCACACACAATTAAGATACCTGCTTTGAAGCAACAACAACATCTGAAAAATGAAGAATAGTATTCATTTCAGTTTTATCTCCCTTTTTTGAACAAGATGGAAGTGGCAGTTGTATTCATTTTAATAAGTATTTCTTCAAAACAACTACAGATACAATATAGAGGATGTAACCTACAGCAAGAAGCTGGATTTGGAGCAACAACAAAAACATCTAAAACTAAAGAAGAAGAGTATTCATTTCAATTTCATCTCCCTTTTTTTAGAACAAGATGGAATGGCAGTTTTATTCATTTTCATATTTACTATATTTCTTTGGAACAACTACAGAAACAATAGAGGATGTCACACATATAGCAAGAACCCGGATTTGGAGCAATAACAAAAACATCTAAAAATTGAAGAAGAGTTTTCATTTCAGTTTTTCTTTTCTCTCTCTGTTGTTTTTTTTTATCCGGTTCCGCATTAGCCGGGGTCCGACCACTTTCATCGAGATGACGTAAACCGCGCAGGCAACTGCCGTGGGCATCGGGCCACTCATCAGGAACCAGTTCCGAACCCGTTTGTCTGCGTTCAAATATACGTTCATTCGTTCATCAAATTCAACACAAACAAAAATATATACTGTACATGCTAGAATACAGTAATAAGAAAAGCGTTATCTTCAAGGGAAGAGATATCTGAATATGAAGTCGTCAAAAGAAATTTCCTCGTCGAATTATAGCTTCAATTCGGTGCATTGGAAACTCTGATCATCCAGACGCGGATCAACTATACTGCGGGAAAGCAGCTCAAATTAGGATATCCTAAAGCAAAACAACAGCAAAAAAAAAAACGGAAAAGCCTGCAGAATCCTTTATTCCATATTTATTTTCTGTCACTTTATGCCGATTTTTAAATGATCATTTATACATATAAGATTTTCATTTACAGTACTTTCAGATTTCCAGCAGCTCATAAAATATATTAATTTATTTTACCTGTCGCGTAAAAAGTTCCATCGGTATTTCAGCAACGCCCGGAAAAATAAATGATTACGCAGTTTGAATCTGAATTGATTGACTGGGATTTTATTTCAAAGCAATCTGGGGAAAAAAAGCAGCCAGTTGCGCGAATTTCAAATTTGTAAAATCATATTTATTATAGACTTGAAAAGACTAGAAAAGCGGAAGAACATACTGCATCACATACTTTATGCTAGAGTACTTCGTTTTTTCATGAGGACTGTCTTAGAGCCTTTTGTAGAACGACGAACTCTTAAAGACCTTAAAGTGAATAAAAGTTGTACTTGACTTAAAACTTAAACACTACTTTATTTGAATCATGTTTTTTATATCGTTTGTGAAAAGAAAATCCAGATTTTACACTGCTGTTGTGCTTCAATTGCAGCCGAAATCAGTCTTCTCCCGAGATGGCGCTAAAATCGACGGTGTTCATCATGTTCTTCACATTTGTAATTCTTCATTTCTGCTTGATTTTTTTCGGCAACGTTCGAGGCATGAATACTGTAATGAATTATGTGTATTGCTCAGGAATAAGCTGAATTTCGGAACACATTCAATTGAAAAATTATATGTACAGTATATATTTAGAAACATTTTATTTTCGTTTGGTCCCTCTTTATTTTTATTCATGTGAGGGTTTCAAATTTCTCATTAATTTTTTCAAGATCGTAAAAATCATTACGCATTTAGATTTGAGAGACTTCTGAAAGTATTCTTGCATACGGCACTAAAAATTGCATAAAATGAGGTTGAAATTGCTGACCAAACGTTTCTAGATGCTGTTATTCAGACAATGTCAATGATGTTGATTCAAATAAATTACTAGCTGATCTTGCTTATGATGTGATAAAACTAAACCATTACTGTTTGCTATTGCCTAACATTCCTTATGGTACATGATACAACAGCTCTTTTGACAAATTCATGGCATTTTAATTGAATATTTATAATCGAATTTTCAAGAGTGTCTTAATTGGTGTAATTTCTGCAGCATAAATACATTGGGTAATTTACTGCCAAAGCACCTTCTTTTCTTATGCTCAGCATTTCATAAACACAGAAATGACCTTCTAAAAAAGTTGAGACTCTTAAAATTCAATGAAACGACTCTTTCCAAAATCTTAGAGGACCAAGATAAACTGTTAAATTTATACAATTTTTTCATTGAAGATTCTCTCAAAATTATTTGATCAACTAAAACTTATCTGAGAGCAGGTTGAGCACTTTGTGCTTTAATATTTGGGTTTAGTAGTTTGCTTATGCTGAAATTTTTGTTACTGATAGTTTCTTTTTGTTATTGAAGGAAGTGTATGCATGTACATCAGTACAGCGCAATTGTACATTTTGGGATGTTTTTTTTCTTCTTTTAATATCCATATGCAGCTTATTTCTCTATTTTCCAACCTCATGTGATGGAATGTCTTTGGATGAATGTGAGTGGAGAGAATGTGACTATGAGTTCGGATGTGAGAACATTGCTTGAACCTTGCAAATGCTGACAAGCAGAAAATAAAGCTTGCTGATCAATCAGTCAACAATGTGGATTCAAAATCAATGGAAATCTAGTAAAAACCAGCTCGGAATGCATATTTAACGGCGTTCCAAAGGAAAAAAAATTATGTTTTTCCTGCGATCAATAAAAGATTTTTCTGCCAAATCTTTCGGAAATTGAGAAAAAATCGATTGATCACCTGAGTATTCTTCCATGATGGCATGATAGGCCTGGACATTGGATTTCCAATGTGACCCGAGGATGGACTGCAAACCAGCGTCTTCAGCTGAAGACATTTCCTCTTTGAGGGTGTCGTTGTCCATTCGGAAAGATCAGGAAAGTCTCGCCTCCAACACTTATTTTTCAGCCGCTATAAGCGAAATCACACTTTCAATCTACTTCCAGTCTTCATTTCTCAACAAGAAAAAAACGAAAATTTGAGGAATTTTAAAAGATTTGTTCGAGAAATTTTTTTTTTTCACCAGGTTCCCCGACGACGAGAGCCTCCGCGCGTATAGTGGGACTCTCTCGATGAGTTACGTCTTGACGAACAAAACCGGCACCGTTTTCCTCCATTCCATTCGTTTCCGAAAAGCGCAGAGGAGAAAAAAAAATCGAGACTCGGTCTCACATGTTTACAACACATATACGTGTGACACGGAAGTAACAGATGTCCCTCCAAGTAAGAAAAAAAAAGACCCAGCGAGCAACGAGGAAATTGCATCATCAAGCGCCGCGTTATTTCCGCGGTAATCAAATTGATTCGTGTGGTCGACAGAAGTGAATGGTAGGTTAAAAATATAAAAAAATAATAATACACAGGCTTGTTGATGACGATATTTAGTCAATTTAGAATATCGTTCACGGCGAAAATTTATGAGACAGTCATCAACCCGTCATCGATGATTTGGAAATCAAGCCCTGTTGTGGAAATCAGGAAACCCTGAGAAAATTGCCACAAAAAAACCCTTTATTTATTTCATCACCAGCAGGCAGAATAACCTTTCAATGTGATTCTTATTTTTTATTCAAAATGGTACTATGCTTCTTGGCATCATAGTATTGAGCAAAAATATGTTATGTTTAAAGCTGGCACACAAAAAAATCCATGAGACCATTTCCATTCGATTTTTTCAGATCTCGTGGTAGTTTAAAAAATCAGTCTCCTTAATTTTTAAACCTCATCGTTCCAGTTATTATTTTTTCTCTTGCATTAAGGATGATAACTTTTTCGATTTGAAAAACATGCTGGAATCCAATGGAATGCTCATTCCATGTACTGTAATTAATGATTTTGTTCACGTAAATAGTATTGAAGCTATTCTTTAATTTATTTATTCATCTATTTATAAACGGTCTCCCGTCTACTTCACTTTTTCACGTATGATAACAAGTCAAATACCGAATGAAAGCTCAAGAAATACTATTTGGAAGGATGCCAAATTGTATGGCTTTAGGAATTATACTTTTTTGGCATGAAATTCACACGTATACCCATTGGCAGAAAATTTCTCAGAAGGGAGAGATTTTTGTAGAGGTTGTGGAGGATTTATCACCATGAACTTTTCTAGTTCCATATGGCTTGAAATGATTTTCCAAATTGTCCAATGTCGATTTTTTCAAGCACCTTCATTGACGTAGGTTAAAATATTCCAAAAACCTTCTGACAATTTCTTTCGATTGTTTTCGCAATTTTTTTAGAAACCAAAGGAAAAGAAAGACAATTAGGGGGATTTCAATATTGAAAAAGTCATTTTTCAATAAATTTCACTCGCCAGCAACATAAAAAATATATATAATTTTTGAAGCAGCAACACTTTCAAAATGTTTTCTAAAGTCACGTTAAGAGATGTTCTGATTTTAGCGAATTCTTTAAAGCAGGAAACATTTATTCCAGAGATTCTTACTTCCTTCCCTCCAGCATTGGCGAATTGAATTGAGAAAAATATTTTGAAAACATCACAGAAGACTCAATTGCACAAAACCCAAGTAAATTAATTTTGTATTCCATCCAGATTATTTCAAGTTAAAAAAAACTCCTAGCAGAATTCAACGCTTTTTTTTCATCCGCAGAAAAACGAAAATAAACTAAATGCTGATACCCCGCAAATAATTCACGCCTACTTATTCCACAATGAATCCGCAGTCCTGATGATGAGAACACACAGCAAACCTGGACATCCGCATCACTGATGCTTCAGATCGGAATGCAACTTGTTGTTGTGACACACGTGGTTTTCGACAGCACCCGAAAATTTGATTAATCCACTGTCACGAGGGGAATTGCGAAACGGAAGCTGCTGCTGCTGCTGCTGGTGACGAGACCGACGAAGGAATACGAATATCACTCATCGCCATCAATTACTGATCCCCCCACTTCCACCCCGAGGCAGTATCATGGAAGAAATAACGTTTTTAAAAAAAATCTATATTTATGTATACATATCGTATTTATTTATTTTATATATATATATATATATATATATAGATGTACAGTATATACATGACTTCCTGGACAGCGTTGACCATCATTGCTCACACTTGGTTTCACCAGGAGTCTCGGCTCATTCCGGCAGCAGTGTAATGACAACCGACTGGCAAGCCGCGAAGCGGAACAGTTACGCAAAACTGGCCTGTGAAGCAATGAACTTTCTCTTTTTCTTTCTTTCTCTCCCTCTCTCTCTCTGCGTGAATGTGGAAACCGAGGAGACTTGTTTCACATCGGAAACCCAGGGGTTTTTTTCGTTTTTTTTTTTTTTTTTGTGGGTCCGTTATGTCAAGAAGGAAAGAAAAAATTGCAGCAACTGTCAAACAAGAAACAGAAAATAATAACTAACATAACGCAGTGTTCAAATTTAGTTTATTGGGGTGAGGCTTTGGTTTTTCTCATGAAAAACAAAAAACCAATCATAATGTGGGTGATTATATTCCTCTCCAAATTTGTATTTCTTCCACAAGCAATTGAAATGCAGTAGTAATTGAGTTATTGTGAAGACGCATTCACGCGTTTAAATATGCTTTTTTTGATGATTTGATGCCTTCGCAAAAAATGCATACCATGAAAACACAGTGTTGAAAACCTGGTTATGATGTACTGTATGCCTTTAAATGCTGTTTTTGAATGTGACTGCGATTTTCATTCAAAGAAAATAAAATATTTAAGTCGTGCGACGCAATGATCTCGTCAAAAATTTGGCTGAAATAGTAGATTGAAATATATGTAGTACAACAATTTAAATAGCAAAAGAAATTGAAACAGCAGAACAAAATGAGTCACTGTTGTGAAGACTCATTCACGGTTTTTAATTTTTTTTTCTGGTGATTATTTTAAAAAATCAAACCATGAAAAGAGTAGTTTAAAAGAGCTGGTCATGGATGTCTTTAAATGCTGTTTTTGAATGTGACTTCGATTTTCATTGACAAAAAAAATCCATGTGATGGCAGTGATATCTTACAAACTTTGGCTATCTGGTCGAATAATTGAAGCAATTTGAGAATAAAATGAAGTATTGTGGTAAAGACTGCACACGTTGTGTTCAAATTATTTAGATCATGCTTAGATTTTTCTCACGAAACCATAAAAGGAAAATTTTTGAAATGCTTCACACACACAAAATTTAAACTTTTCTTTTCTTGGCCAAGAATCCTAAAGATAAAATAATAAAATGAAGGATTGCTTTAAAGAGCTGATGAAAGTACTGTATTCAAATTCTACTCTACTTGAATTTTTCATGGCGAAAATACTGTAGGTGGAAAATGAACGAATCTTGACAAAAATCAATTCAAACTTTTATTTTCTCAGCAAAGAATTCGAACGATGAAGAAAAAAATGGGGATTTTCTATGAAAACCAAATGACCTTGTCCAACTTTTGCTTTTGAATGCTGCTTCGATTGTTCTCGACATTTATTTTTCTCAATTATAACAATAAGTAAATGGGAACGAATGAATCGGCTAAATTTCTTGAATTAAAAATACGCTCTTTATTTAATGATACGCTATTTTTCAAGATTCCCACAATCCAAAGGAATATTGCCCACCTGGAAAGCACTGTCTTCGTCAATTTTCGGAAAGTGATTATCGATTGTCATGAGCAAAGTTCCGCAGAAATTTTAGCAGAAAATGTGAAATTAATCAAAAATGTTTCTCTGATTGGAAAAATGCCTTTTCGAGAAATCAAATAATTAAATAATAATTTCGAGAGGAAAACTTTGCCTCTTTGATAACCGTGAACAGACCGAAAAAATTGAAGCGTTTGCTTCGTTTAATTTATATTTCATAGACATTGTATTCTCTGTCAGAGTGGAAAACAAATCATTAATCACAACGCAGTTGATTCTAAAGAACCAAAGTTGCATGTTCCGTGATCTTTTTATTTTTATCTGCGATGAAATCATTTGGATACAATACTAAATTTCATCTTCTTTTATTGACACTTACTTTCTCAAGCAACTAATTGCAATTCTGATAAGCGTCTTACATCACATTAATATTAGAAACCCATGAAAGCATGTCATTGTTAAGCAGTTACGACGAACGATGACTTGGAAAATTGTTCGTCAAGATGAATGACCACCAAATAGAATTATTGCAACACTTTTGAATAAAATCAGAACGGACATTTCATCATACTTTTACATGAGTAATGCAAAATATTATTCAAAATTTAGAAGCCGATCAAGTCTGACGTGAGAATAAACACCCAGCACCCTTCCACACTTTTCTATAACGTTCAACTTCAAGCCATACTAATTTATGCTAACAATTATCAGCGATAAAAATATTCTTGAAAAACTTGAATAACTGAAAATGCCTGTTCGATAATTTTTTTGTTCATCACTGACGAATTTTCAGGATTCCCTTCAATTTCCACGCCGTGATTTTCCAGTAACACCAATAAGAATATCCTTTCCCTATGCTGATTGTCAGTGAAGCAAATTTGTCCTTTGAAGTATCGTAGAAATTTTTGCGAGCAAGTTAAAGAAAATTTTAAAAAAAAGGTCTTCACTCGACGGAGGTTTGCGAATAACTGAAATAACTGAAAGTGCCTGTTCGATAATTTTTTTGTCCATCACTGAGGAATTTTCAGGATTCCCTTCAACTTCCACGCCGTGATTTTCCAGTAACACCAAGAATTTCCCTATGCTGAGTGAAGCAAATTTGTTCTTTGAAATATCGTAGAAATTTTTGCGAGCAAGTTAAAGAAAAAAAAAAACAAGGTCTTCACTTGACGGAGGTTCGCGAGCAACAGAGTCACGTTCCAAAGCGACGGCTGCCATTATATCGTGTGCTGGACACAACACGCAGCTTCTTCGGAAGTCAGTATAGTGGAAAAGCGCGAAAAATACTGACACACTCGAGTTCTTGGGTCATTTTGCCTTTATCTGTTTTCGAAATTTTTTTTCTTCATATTCTCGCATCTGGAACGAGAG